GTGGGGATATGACGATCAATCATGTGCTTGGGAGTTGACAGGCTGGGTCGGGCGCACCACTACTCGTATTATTTTACTCGTAATTTTCTGACGTTTGCAAACACAACTGGGTCCCCATGCCGCCAAGAGCCCTCGCATCAGACCCGAGCTCAAGGACTTTTGGGGTATTTTTTTGGTGGGGAACACTCAGGCAAGTGAACTCGCAGGTAACTTGGTTAAATCTACTCGTAGGTAAGTTTTTCAATTTTCTGAGTTGCTACTGCTGGTGCCGTTGGGCCATCTACAATATGCGGACCTAGTTGTGTTCACAAACGTCAGAAAATTATGGGTACATTTGTATTGCCACTAAACCGTACTAGGAAGCTTGAGAGAGATCTGGTGAGGATTTTTTCGTGTCGGCACGGACTCGGGCGCTTTCCAAGCGGAGAACTGGCTTGTGTTACCGCGCCCGAAATACCCATTCACCCGAGAACATAGCAAAGTTTTTAGTAGGCGTGAAAGGCCCTCCCGACTGTGGAAAACTACCCTATCAGATACTCGTGCCAAGGTTGCAGCTAGGGCGCTGCAACCTTGGCATGAGTAGGGTAGTTTGGCAGTCCCATGCTGGTTTTTTGCCCACTATGACTCGCCCACGAGGAGATAGCTTGGCGCGCAGAATTTTCTGCATAAACGGCGCTTTCTTGTTTCCTTTGTTAGACCAGTGCAACCGCACCTTCCTCTCAGCAAACCAATTCCATCACCACCTCACCTCGACTGAGCTTAGCTCTACGGTATCCTTGTTTTCTCTCCCTATATTGGGTAAGTTACACCATATCTACCGGTATGGGGAGTCAATTTTACCCCTTCAATCGCCCGTTTTAACAAGGTAACTCCGCTCAATGTCATACCGGTAAAAACTAGCACACTCGTTATCCCTTCATCCGTCCCGGTTTTCACACACTTTTAGTGGTTTTAGCGGGCGTTAGTGGTCATACTCTATACCGCTTTGGATGTAATGGTTGCAACCTGTACAGAATATGTGTACTTACAAGAGTTTATTCTTGGTACTTATGATACATATCAAAGGAGAACTCACGACATAGTGGCACTTTACAGAAACTGCACTGAAAACTAGTCCTCCTAATTTTACCCTGTGGACCTTGACTATGCAAAAGGAGATTTAGATAGGTAAGGACAAAAAATACAATATGGCAAGGAGTGCTGTTCAATCGATTGAAGAGTATGGGATGCTGGGATAAAGCGGGTTGGTTGAAGGTTATAATTCTTGGCCACATAACCTGCTCTCCTTGCTTTTGTAGTATTTCCTAGAGGTGTAGCTCCTGGGCAGTGGCGGCCTCGGGCTCGGGGGTTGATCTCAGTCTGAATTTGGCGGGAAATAGATGGGTTAATTGCCTGAAATCCAGATAGAACAAGATCCCAGGCAAGGTGAGTTTGGAAGTAGCTATGATACTGCAAATACATTGCAGGCTGGGGAGGATGAGATATTGCTTGTCGAGCAATAAGATATGCGTTGATAATTGTTGTATCCAAAAGCCAGCAAAAGATAGGTAGCCAATTCCGACAAACCCGAAGTTGAGTACTATAATAACTTCTTCTTTGGTCCGCAATATCTACACCACCCATGAAGTCATTATAGTCTACCGAGAAACAAGGTAGGGAAAGACAACGGACCGGATTTGAACCCCACTCCTGCTCAGTTAGGGTTCTATTTGCTTCAGTTATATGGAGACGGCGTCATTCACAATAGACAAAGTTCTTAGGCTCCAGGATAGCCCTATGAGCTGTTGTAAGAAAGCGGACTAGGGTCTTATCTTACCATAGTAAAGCAAGAATACTACCAGACTGGCCCGGGGATACAATGCCGGAAATTGTATTCCATGGTAATTGAGAATTCTTTTTATCAATTTTGAATTCAGTAAGATAACAGGCAGAATTTGTTCGAACAGTTCCACAAGCAGCAATTTGGTACTCTCGTAGGGCAGTAAAGAGGGGAATATTGCTAAAGTAGTTGTCACAGTAGAGGATGAAGTGAAAGCGGTGAGCTGGAAGAGTCATTGCCAGCTGGAAGACAGCTTTTGAAGTAGGAGATAAGTGTTGGGTTCCCGGATACAGGTCCAGTATATCAGACAAGGATTCTGATTGTGAAGTAAATATGAAACTAAAGGTATATCCATGCTCACAAAGTGCTAGCATCTTATACCCCTGCAGAATTGGCTTTCCTCTAATCACAGTAGTATGATGAGAGCGACTGGTAAAGCGGACCATCATCTTATCTATCGCAACCTCTAAAGCTGGCAAACAATAATATTGGAACCGGCATTGTGAATTATAAGCCAAGGGCTGGACTTTATAAGTCCACTTGGATAATGGAAGTAGTATGTCCTGGGGCAGAGCGATATAGAAATACTGTTTCAGCTATTCGAAACATACTAGAGTTATATAGTTAATAATACTATGGGCCGGAAGCTTTCGATTTTTACTCCAGTATGATGAAATGCCGGTACTACAGTAGACATCCATATAAATTATCAAAACAAAGAAAATCTTGATCTCAGCACCACAGGTTGTCCGCTAAGGTCCTCCCTGCCTGCCTGCCTCTTTCTGTCTCGCACAGGCATTGGTATTCTCTGCTAGGATTTCAAACTGTTCCTTGGTAAAGAAAAGTTTACAAAAGGCTAATGGTGAATGGAGGTCATTAGAAACAGGTCCACCAGCTATTGGATAGTGGTTTTGTTGGCAAGCACGGGTATTTCCATCCCATATATTCTGTAATTCATCAGGCAGGTAGATGATTCAGTTGTGTCAAGGTGCTGAATGCTGGGATAGTTTGAATTAGAGAATACCGGGAAGTGAAATATTGCTGTACTGGTACAATAGTGGTATAGCACCACCAGGAAATCCCACCTGACCACCTATGGCACTACCAGGAAACCCAGCCTGACCATCCAAATTTTCCGCTTCCTCTTGCTCTTCATCTTTCTCTTCAAGGAAACTCTCTTCCTGTTCTGGATGCCTATTTAAGGCTATCATGATTGCTAAACTGTCTCCAAGTTCTTCTAGTTCAATTTCATCTTCCGAATTGTCAAGGTTTAATGGTAATACTTGTGCGCCTGCTGGGTCCCAGTTGCTAAAAATGTTTTCTCCACTCTCCATCGTAGTTCTACTTCGTTTCTCTCCTCTAACCATTATTAGTATTTCTCTCTATTTACCAATTGAATAAGTAGTACATACTCATTTGCGTACTCTGTATATTAATCCAAGAATACAGAGATCATGTACTAGCTCTCCCTACTAGAGCCAGCTAATGGGCATCAAGGCACATAAATGGACTGATTCAATGGGGTCAGAAGTTGGCTTTTAGAAGCTGAGGTGTTTCTGAATCGGATACCGTAAGGTAGGAAAGAGGATACTGGTAAGAGGGAAGGCTCCCGATCTGGTACTCTGAATTCCCCACTTTTATGAGCGGTGGATCTGGTAGTACATCAGCAGTGACCATTTATTAGCAGTATGGTACTTATTGAGGACCCACCTTGGTATCAGAAGATAAAGGTTGATAAATCATAATGTAATTTATGGTGCAACGGCTCTTCACTCAGATGCGGCTCACCATGGCAACCACTGGCACCAGAATGCTAAATGTGTATTTGATTATCTATACAAATAATAATGACACCATATTGAAAATTTGTTAAAAAGTACTTTTAAATATGGAGAATCAGAATCTGGAGTTTTTATTTGATGGTAAAGAATGATTCTTCTTGTATACTCAGTTTATTCTAAAGTGGCTCAAATATCATCTGGTTAGAATATTGAGTTAGGAAAATTAGAAATTCTTATAAAAATAGTAATTTAAGTAAATTGTATGATCTTCTAGGTTTTGTATTTGATGTGTTAAGTGCATTGGGATTTGTTTGTAGCTATTTTGGGGGCTATTGAGACTAAATAAAGGGCTAAAGCTAAAAATATATCTTATAAACAGGAATAGATGATATTTACTTATAAGATTTATGTAATGTTACAATAATTTTTATTATACTTTACTAACATGATCTAAGACCTTATATAGGTTCTCAAGGCAGTAGGTTGAGTTCTGTAAATTTTATTTCCTCAATATTAAAAAGTAACTTGGAAAGAAATACTACCTTCAAGTCTCAACTGAGTCAGTTATATTACTAGAATAAGGTCCAAAGTAGTGCTTTCTAGTCTTCTCATATTGTTAGAGTTATTGAAAAAGTTAGAGTATGTTTAGACAATAGGACTTAGAAATATTAAACTTCAACTGCAATAATATGATATTTTAACATAGATTTGCTGCTGTTAGCTATAGAACCTGGACAACTTATCTATAATCCTAGAAACTTGGTATCATGAGTTAAGTAGTTGTAAAGAAGAATATTAGAAAGAATCAAATTCATATCTGATCTGTGTAAATAGATATAGCATAGTAAAAATGATATATTTTGTATGTAGTTTCCCTTCTCTCTTTCAGTTACTATAACATGCCAATAGGCTTATAAATTACCAGCAAGCTATATTATTCTAAGTATATTAAGCCCAAATAATTACTCTATTAGGTTATAAAGGTCCTTCTATTTATATTTGAATTTTTACCCAAGCTGTAAAAGTGTAATCTTATTTAAAACAACTATTCTTAAAACCACTATACCAACAGTTATTTTGCTTATTAATAAATCAAAACTACATATTCTGATTCTCCATATTTAAAAGTACTTTCTAACCAATTTCTATAGTGGTGGCATTGTTATCTTTGTCAATAATCAAGTATACATTAGGTTTTCCAGTGGTTGCCATGGTGAGCCGCACCCCGGTCATGAGCCGCATCCCCGTAAATTACGTTAGTCAATTGTCCACGGCGGTGTGATGGTGTTGTGATGGCTAAGTTCAACGCATACCCGAGTACCACCTGGGTGGTGGCATGTTCCCTAACCCTGCATTGAGATAAGGTCTTCATTTAGCATAGTGTCTGAAAACGTACGAAGGGATGCAGCCAAGGCCATCGTGCAAGGATTGTGGCCAATTAGAGCGCGAGAAGTGAACAATAGCCGACCAGACCATGTTCAGACCTGCCACCATGCTGGCATTCAGGCCCGCGGGCATCTACCGCTACCACCCTCATGTCCTCTATGCATGCAGGGCGATCGGCACTGCTAAGGTAAGCTTAAGTGTCTACGGCCCCCGGTCGAAAAAATCGGGAAACGGAGATTGGGCTTCTGAGGTTTTGATTGGAGAGTTCGATATGCTCGAGCCAATTGAGCGACCGTGTTTCTGACATTTAATTTCCACATTCCCGATTTTTATCATCTGAGGCTGTAATACTGTAGCCCACAAACTGTGCTAACTAGGCGACAATATTTGGCAGAAGAAACAAACCAATCCTAAGCGTAAAACTGCATCTTCGGAGGTGATCATGGAGGAGGAAACTACTTCGGTGGGCTTAAAGTTCTAATGGCTCGCAAACTGTTCTAACGACATTCGACAGACTCGGGGGAAACAAACCAAGTACCAAACAGCATATTCGAGGGTCAGCATGCCGGACGCCCAGAAGAGACTCGGGTTCAGATTCAGGGACTTCGAAGAGGATGGCATGCCCGTCAGCCAGATGTTGGCGGAGACCAAGCCCCAGATCGAAGGTCTCTCAAACGATCAGATCCAGCAAATTAAGCAAACGGTTTTCAACAATATGGTCCAATTTATTCAAGTCGAAGGGTATCCTACAGAATCGGATGAAAACTTTAAAGAAGCGAACGTCAACGACTTGGTTCTGCTTACGATCTTTCCCATACTCGCGGCGTTCAGATGCGAGACGGGGCACAAAGTTGAACTCTTAAGGGAAAAAGAGATTATTGCTACAGACTCCGAAACCGGCGGTACCGAGGAATTTGTTGGGATGAGCGTTATCGGAGTCGGGAACCAGAAGTTTGTCTTTGTTGTAGAGGCGAAGAAGGCCTCTATTGGACAGGCAAAGAAGCAATGCATGTTGGCCCTAAAAGACATGGGAGATAACAATGGTGCAGGCATCGGGTTTGGTTTTGTCACGACGGGGGAACAGTGGCAAATGATCTGCTACGATTGCAAGGTTTTTACTCAGACAGATCGCTTTCAAGTATTGTACCATAGTATGGGACACAAGAAAGAGAAATGGATGAAGGAGGCCTCGATCATCGTGGATTGTATTCACACGGCGATTAGAAGTGGGGGATTTGTGGCCGCATGATTGGGAGTGGACGTCTGGTTGGGTTTTCCCGTGGGGTTTGTTTGTGGTGGCTGGTTGTTGTTCGGGAGTGTTAATGATTTTTGCTAAGCGGAGGGGTGGCCGACCGCAGGGTGGTACGTCAGCCGCCTGATGTGGCGGGTGATGTGGCGAGTATGATAAATGAGAGAGCGAATAAGGCCGCGTGAACCTAGGCAAACGGTGGCTTGTTCTTTCCTGTATGATAGTCGGGCATACCCTCCACCTCTCTTTCTCAATCAACCTCAGTCGTTTCAACACCTCCCAATACTGGCGGTTTTTTTAAAGCCTCCGGCACTTCTAACATGTGGCGTGATCAGATTTTGATACAATTTTGCCTAACGGGTTTAATGAAATAGTTCCATGTTTCAGTAACTTTGGTCTATTCCTCTTGACCCCTGCCAGCCCTGCCACTCTGTTTAGCTCCCTTGGCACTGCAGATTTCATCTACACGAAGTTGAAGCCGAGTAGACTAGAGAAATTATTAGTGACACGTGAATCCAAGCGCTTAGGTGAGTTTCTTTTCTCACCTCAATAGCTGTCTTGACGCTTTGCGGCTTTACCGCCTCAGGCTCCCAGACACCATATTCCTCCATGTCAACAATCTTACCGGTCTCGCCGTCAATGCCCCGGGCATGCTCCTTCGCAAGATGCTTCGTACGTAACTAGGTGAGTCCTCTGATTGGGCTAGCACATAAAGTTCGCGATCAGTGCTCTAGGAATGACTTCGAGGGCTTCTACAACTCCCTTGTATGGCCACTGTTGCATACCTTCGATAGATTCTGAGATCTCGGCAAGATGCACAGAGATATCCACCTCGACTGCGCCACCTTCAGAAGCTAACCGGCGGTAGAAAAACACATTGCGCGCTACAGCTACTGCGTCTTGCAGATTGCATTTGATTTCGTAAAGGATATCCATAGGGGGAACACGGAGGAGGATGGTGCAAGCTTCAGGATCTTCACACTTTGTTATAGATGAAAAGTATCTGAGAGGGTCAACTATATTGCTTCCACAAGGTCTTCAAGTTTCACAAGGTAGGATAACATACTCATCACTAATCTTCCCAATCTCAAGGAGAACACCTTTTGTACTAACATTTTAGTCATTGATATCACAACTGTAGCACCGACAGCACGGGAGACCCTGTTTTTACCGGTCTTTCTGGCACGGCGGAGGGCTGTTAAATTTCCCTCGTGGAGGTAGTGTGAGCAAGATCTTAAGTTATTCTGAACACTTGAAAGCTACAGTCAAGGTAACGACAAAAGAGGAGCGAAAGAATTGGATAGCAACAATGTCAGAATAATGTAATAAGAAAAAAAGGGGCATAAAATGATGAGGAAGAAAGAACTATGGATTCATTTTATTGATTAAGTAGGAGAAGGGAGTGAGTAGCAGCTCCAAAGTAGTAAAGAAAGATTTTTGTATGAGGAAAAAAAGTGGATAGGGGTCGGTTTTACATGTCCGGAACTATATGTGGTTTCGTTGTTAGAACGGGGGCGTGGGAAAGAATGGAGTCATGTGAAGAGAAACCGATATGGCTCTTTTGATCCAGGGATCAGGATGCTGCGATTGCATAAGACCAATACAGAATATATAATGCTGGGTTCTGTGGTGTAGTTGGTCGTACTGTACTCGGAGGTGACCATAAGCCGGGGGCTCTTCCGAAACGGGTAGGAGTTTTATATAGAAACTAAAGTAAATTAGGAAGGCAGAGTGATCTTTCAAATCTCAGTAATATTTCATCAGATCCCGGGATTTCCGGTACGGGGTCTTAGTTTCCTGTTCTTCCTCCCCGATCCCCTCCCCAACTCCCTCCTTTCGTTTTCCTCCTGTCAAATATTTTTCCCAACTTGGCTTATAGAAGCAATACTCCCTCCACAACCAGAAGCCTCTCACAACACCTCCAACATGAAATTACAGCTATTAGCTGTGCATATAAGCTAGTTTCTCACAAACAAAAATGTTCTCAGGTACCTTCTTTACTTTCTCCCTCTTCTTCCTTGGAGTCCTCAGCAACGCCCATGTGCGGCTCCCCTTACCAATAACTCATGACCCAGCAGCAGCTCACCTCTTCTTACAAATCTACTCCGTCACCGGCCTTGTTGCCTCCACAGACCCGGTCACACTTAACCTAACCCACACCAAAATTCTCACCCTTCTCTCCACCGTTCTCCTCCCATTAGAAGATACCGCTACCGCCCAGGCCCGGCAACCTTACTACGAGACCTCCCGAGACTCCCCTGAGTACATGGATGTTGTTTTGGCCATGTTGCAACTCTACCGCCGGGCGGGGCAAGTATGCTCTAGCAGGCCCAGCTGTAAAACAATGCAGCCATGGGGAAGCACCGAGATCGGGATTTGCGGGCCATTTGGGTACTCTTGGGATTTCAAGGATGCGGGTGGGATGGCGTTTTGGATTGCTGTGAGGTGCTCGAGGGGCTTAGGGATTATGAAGGTTGGGGGGAGGTATTTGTTTAATAGATGGTGGACCGGGTTTCCGGCTGATGTGAGGAATTATAGGAGTTAGGGATGGATAGTTTTATTATATCAGTATTGGGTGGTAGTAGAGGAAAACAGTTGGTTTAGGAGGTTACTGGGATAATATTTTTGGATTTAAATGTTGTCCAACAAAATTTTACCCTGGGGGATTGATTTGTGAAAAGATTAACATTTTGTATTATTGCTTGCTGAGTAATCATAGAGTATCACTCAATAGATCAACCAGCCAGAGTTTTCCCTGGCGGAACAGTCTACGCTTGTGGCACCTTGCCGGGAATGCCGTCTATCGCCGGTAAGTAGATATCTAACTACGGACAGTTTCCTTGCATCAGCTGCTTTGGTTTCCATGTGGTTGGCGGACTATAGCAAAATCCGAAAATGCTTTCCCCATGTTTGTTCCCTCCTACAGCTAACTCTATCACCCCCAATCATGTGGTAGGTGCTCACCGCTCCGCCTCTCACACATCACTAGAGAGTTTTCTAGCTTGTTCATTCGGCTTTGTTAGTTAGTGTAATACAAGTATACAGCAGATGTTTCTCCAGTTTTTCCCCTTCCTTTCCCCATTTGATCTCTGCTGCATGTGGGAGTTTTCCCACGTTCTTTGTAGCGCCCTGCAGGCTTTTGCCCTAGTGGATATCATCTTTGGGTGTTTTCTTGGGTTCAGTTGCAGATACACTGCTCTTCTGCAAACAGTTCTAGGAACATGGCTACTGGATAGATATATTGCGCCTGTCAATGACGGAAGTTGTTCAGAAGGATAATGGAGTGAGTTCAAGGCGGGTGATAGTATTCTGGCGGGAATGAAGTGCAGGAAGAGAGGACAAGTTTCTAGATTGCAGGAGTGTTGGCTAGTTTCTTTGTTATGGGAAATTGCAGAGAATATTCTTATACCTTGTTGCGATGGAAGTTTGCGCAAAGGCTGAAACTAATATGATGATTCCGACAACAAGGTTGGTATTTTATTTTTACTTATTCTTTCCAAGCTCGTTTTGAGGGGATCAAGAGACGTTCCTTGCGGAAGATTTTTCTCATCTGAGGCCATTGTTACCCGCTGCTTGCGACATTTTACTTTCAAGAATACTTAATTAGAGAAAGTATCCTGTTGCTGCTTGCCCAAAGCCCATACATGGCATTCCTGGCAGTATGTGTATCCACACAGCATAATAATAATTAATTATGGTGTAAGGTAATCTACTATGCTAGATTCCACATTTAAATCACCAGTGCTCACTCGGCTTTACAAGACTTGATACTCTTTTTAGACACGACAGGGAGATGTGAGGTCCAGAGTTATTCCTGCATCTCCTCTCTTTTTATTTGATTATATTAGCATGACCAGTGAGGCTGGGTGATACCAGAGTGCGGGGCTACAAGACCAGACTGGCATCTCATGCAAAGAAGTGCGGGACAAGAGGAGCAAGGAGTCTGGGGGAGGGAGTTGGGCGTGGCAAGACAACTGCGCAAGGGGTTTTGGAAATGGTATGGTTTGGAGAGAAACCGAAAGCAGGGAAGCCGGCGGAGATGTTTTTGTTTGGTATATAATGGCATCCACCTGCACACAATTGTAGAGTGAGCAAGTAGCGAGAAAACGACGGGGTCATTTTGCCTCCTGAGACTTGCGTTTTCTCCCATTTCTTGATGAAATTGTAGTTTTCAATTGAGTTCCCGAGGGTGTAAGCAATTTTCTTGGATGTGGCATGGGTGTTTGTGGAAGCATACCCACCCATTTTCGGCCTTAGTCCTGTTGTTTCTCTCCTTATAGAACTGGATATCTGCTATGGCCGGTGATATTTCTGCCGATTGGTCAATTCATTACTTTAAGTCACGTTCGGAACAATCTGCATAGCCCATGACAGTATTTTTCTTTTTTTTCTTAAAAAAAGAAAAAGAAGTATCATAACATTGTGAATCGCTATCAACAGCCATGGGTGAAAAAAAAGTACGACATCAAAAGACAAACAGAAATACCTAAGAATTACAAATGTTGAAGCAAAAAAGCCTCCCAGAGAGTCCACGATTGGCAGGGGGGGGGGGCTTAAGTAGCACACTCAAACGCCATGCCCATACCGCCAATCATCTTCCCCTCATTCGATATAGGGGAGTGGGTTTGGGGACTAGCTTACTTACTGGAACCTGCCTCGTCTCCCTCATTCACCAGATTTTCGGCAGTAGTGGCACGCAAAGCATCACCAGTGCGGCTCGGGGCAAACTCGACAACAACACTTATCTAACAGTTCCACTTTTGGCAAACTGTCATCGTGATGTCCTAATCCTGAAAGTCCATGATTGGAATGGGTTTCCATTTCAACGGGAAACCGTCCTCATCCTTGCCTTCGAGACAAAAAGTAATTTGAAAAATGCCGCTGTGCATATTGAAGGCGTAATGGACCATTCTGGTGAGGTTTCTGAGGGTAGGGATCTCAGCTAGGTGGATCGGGCGACACTTGTACAGCTGGTATGTAATAACATGAAAGCGATGTTGATTTTCCGAAAGGGGTTCTTGGCCAAGCTTGCCGTGGTCCTTTAAGTGGACCTTGTAAGGGACGGCGTGGCTCCCATTCGGGAAGACAGTGCCACGCCTGTAGGAGCCACAATTTATGTCCAGGTCGGGAGAACATCCACGGTTGACGTATTTTGGCTTTCCGCTAGGCTGGATCGAGCCTGATGGAGGTAAGCTAATGGGAGTTGCCGGTGCAGGGGAAGGGGAGGCGAAGTCCCTAGGAATGTAGGGCTTGGATACATGAGCAATGAAACTTGTGGATCCAGACTGCCCTCTCGTGGGGATTGAAGTAATGTAGCCTGAGCCATCAAGGTTGTTGGCTCCTGGCCACAGGCTCTCTTGGCGGGAATCACTATCGAAATCGTTGATTCCAGCCTTTTGTTTGCCGTTTCGCTTCAAGTTGGCCTCAGGCTCGTTAGTCTACGGAATTTGTCTATCAGTGCTTAGCGGTATCGCATCATGGGAGTCGGTATGAGTGCTTGCCATAAAGCGGGGGGTAAATTTGTCGGTGGCGGCTTCCTGGGCATCTCCAGAACTCTCGCCAATCTCAGAACTAGTAAAAGCCTTTCGACCCTTCATGGTTGTGGGGACAATGATGGCGGTCCTTTGGATGTTAACAGTGGAGAGGTGTCAATTTTAGATGTAGGGAGAGGTAATAGCGTTCATTGGTTTTAAAAAAACTCCCTTGGGAGGGGGACTACCAACCGGCGACGAGGGGCTTGCCCCTATAGTCATGGTGGTGGAGCTCGCCAGAACACCTGTGACTGTGCTGGCAGGGTGCGATACGGGGCTTGTCCCCATCCTTCTCGTACCACCACTTCTGTTTCCACCTCTGCTTGCATCATAGTTTCAGAAGCACTAATAGACACACCACCACTCCTGGATCGAATCCTTTGACAAAGATTGACAGCCCGTACCCTCACTACGGGCACGGCAAGTCACCCTTTTACCTTCAGAACATCTGCGATTCTGACTTTGGGGGTTTTTTTTCTTAAGCCCTAACCCCTAACAGCTTCCTATGGGCTGGCTCTCACCAATGATGGCCGCGGCCGGAGGAGTCTTTAGAATTACCTGGAGAACATGAACGGCAGGAGGAAGATTCCTGGGAAGGGGACGGTGTCAGGGAGAGTCATGAGGAGCTTTTGGATAACGACCCCCATTGGGAGGGAAATGGCCCATTCCAAGACAGCGTCTGTGAGGATTTCTATACTCGTATTATCAACTATGGAGGAATTTCTGGTCTGAGCCTAAGTCAGAGACTGTGGCCCTCTATCTGTGCACCTACCATGATGGTCTTAGGGCGTTAGTTACTTCTAAAACTGAATTTCCCTCCATGGCCCCAGAGGCTCACAAGCTCCGCTCTCCTTCAAATATTTCCAGCGAGCATTCTTCGGAGTATTTGAATGATCGCAAGATAATGAGAAAGTTTCTTGGGGTCAACTGGAGGATCAGAACTTAATACTTTGCTATTAGAGTGATGAGGGGATCATATGTCCAACCTCCGTGCCACCGTTAGTATTAACATATTCACTCAGGCTGGTGGCTCTGAGATGCCCATAAGCACTTGCTACATTAGCAGAACTAGAGGTACTGGACGGCGATGCGCATTGTCGACCTGCTGATGCTTATCAATCACTGGGCCAGTATCATCTCCCCCCATAGTACCAGGTGTAGTATTATTAGTACTAGTATTGGGCTTACCCAAGACACTGCTGCGGCCACCCCCCTACTGTCCTTCAGACAAAGGAAGAGGCAAGATGAATTTTTTCCCCGCTGTTTGCAGGGGAAGATTCTGTTGATTTCCCATCGTTATTGAGCTACCAGGCTGGGTACATCGGTGGCGAGTGTGTGGCTTACTTTATTAGATTGATTTATCATTGGTTGACCACTAAGCGAACTGCTGTTGGGCTAGAATTTCAGCTGATCAGGTGAGGACTTGTACGACTAAGCGTGGACGACGAGAGTCTTTCCGTAGAGGGCTTTCTCATGGTGCTGGAATATTTGCGACCTATAAGTTAGCATAAAAGTTATATAACTTCCCTCTTATCGACTGAACTGCTTTACCCTCGGGATTACCGTCAGAAAACAAACGTACCAGCAATCAAATAAGGGGAATAATCTTACCTCTTTCTCATTTTCTCCCATACCAGATGTCAACACAAAGACCTTACAAGTAAATTTGAAAGACAGTTCGAAAGTATTGTATGGTAATAGAAAACCTTTTGTTGAGTCTGTCGCAGGTGTGATGTAAGGAATGGAGGAGAAGGGAGGGAGGAAAGCCATCTTAGCTACCAGCCCCCCCCTCAGTTACTCGGCACTCAGCCCGATTTGGAAGCTCCACTGTAGTGCGTAGTCTTCGCTACGGGGCCCCGTTTCTGACAAACGGGGTGCCAAGAGCAGGTTCTTAACTGTAGATTAAAAGTGGAATCGTCCAAATTGGACCAAAATTGAGTGAGATAGAGCTCTTTGAAGTTAGACAAATTTTCATTACTCTTGCTCTATCAGTTTTGGTCCGATTTGGGTGATTCTTTTTCCCAGTTAATCAGAATAACCTATGTTATTTTTTCCCCGCTCCTCGGAAACGGGGTCCTGTAACGAAGCCTAGTTGTGCGCGCAGCGTATTGCAGTCTCCCCTAGCACGGCTATGGGCTTGGCGAGATCGCGGCCCCCGAGGGGGGTCTCCGCCGGGGATACGGTTAAGGGTGATTTGGCATAATTCGGTGGGGGCCCGGATATGGGAGGGGGGTAGGTAGGCTTTTGATAATACTGCTTGTTATATGTGATGGGAATATTCTGTATGTAGGTGCGAGAATTAGAATGGTGTTGTATTACTGTGCGAACTATAGCTATAATACTTTCAGAAAATGGATCTACATCAATTGCGCTATGACCACTACCATACCCTCCGACACACACACTTCGATTCACCGGCGCGGTATCATAGCTGAGCAGGGACGCAGGCAGGCAACATCAGCAACGGAGAATTGCAACTTGAAGCTAGATACACAACTTCTCACTCGAACAAAGAAATGACAAATGCCGGGTCGCGTATCCCACCGGGTGGCGAGTGGCGTCATAGTGAGCCATCACCCAAACACTCTCGAGGCGGATTAAGGTGGGAGATAGATAGCGCAGCGGTAGACGGTAGACAGCGAGGATTTTGCTTGGAACTTGAGCACTGTGTAGGAAGGACACGTAGGCTATTCCTACCAAGGTGGAGGTCTGACCGAAGCGAAAGAAGCGGGTGACAGCAGCGGTGATGAAAATGTCTGTGAGTCCATTACGGGAGCGGCGCATATGTTTTCCGTGTTTGGAGGTAATCTTTCCCCGTCCCAGGAACATTCCACCCTATTCCCACCACTCATTCGCATTCCAAGCGGCAAACAAGAGTGGTGTTTGGCCCCATTTTTTCGGCCCGGCAGGGCCAACACCTTCCCGTCCGAGTAGTATTTTCATCATTCCCTCACGTCTATTCTCGGCCCACGCACACACAAGAGTAGTGTTGCGAAATAGATTGGATGATATAGTAACAACCCTTCATCTCCATCAAAGCAACGGTCCTGAGGAAGGGTGGGCAGCGTAGTGCAGTGAACGGGGGACGGCTACCGAAACAATCGCCCCAAAACTCTGCCTCCTTCACCGGTAAATTAGTGATTACCACAGTTTTCAAGTATCTCCAGTGCAAGCGATTTCGCGTCGTCTAAGAACACCCTTTCCACATAGGCTCCAATATGTGGAAGGATCTTTGAGAAAGGGCGTTTCCTGGAGGTGAGCGGGAGGGGCCGACGGGAAGGGCCTTGACAACATAGCGGAGAACTCAGATCGCCTTAAGCAAGTTTCCGCGATTGTCGAGTAAGGTCCACCGAAGGAGGCGGGATGAGCGGAAAGATACTCTTGGAGAGTGAAATGGATCAAGCGAAAAGTCGAGCTTCCTTATCCATAGTAATAAGTCCTTGGTAACATCCTGACGATGTCGACATCGAATGAACATTGCCGGGAACGAAACCCGGCTAGCCTAACCCGACCGCTGGGGCGAAGCTCATCTGGCTGCAATGGCTGTTCTCCGAATGGCTGATCCATTGACGTAGATGCCTGTTAGGCGTTCTTTTGTTCTTAGTTCTAGGTTTAATTCTCGCTCTCTCTGCGCCCCCTCATCTTCCACCTCTGTTGTTAGGGTTTGCCGGGGAATGTCAGTAGGAGCAGGGGCACCGTGATGTGACTAGGTCTTTTCCTTTGGAGAAAGCACTAAAGAGTTGTTTTTCGCAGTGGAGGGAGGGGTTTCCGTGGGTCTTGCAAGGGAGGACGGAGATGCTGTAGGTTAGGGATGCGGAAATGTTTTTGTGTAGGTAGGATGGTGGGAGATGGGTTTGTGGGGCGAGCTGAGTTGGGATGGAAATCTCGGTGGGGTTGTGGGTGATGGGAGTAACCAGATGGTTTAATTGGAAGTAGATCAGGGCATTTGTTATTACAATGAAAGGGTTGTAAGCGTTGGCTAATGTAGAAACTGGAGAGGGGGGGAGGCACAAACGCTAAGGTTGAATAGCTCTAGTGATAGTAAAGCGTCGGATTCACGACAGTAGTGCGGGATTGTCATTAATGGTATTTTTTAGGCTCGCGCAGGTCCAACCAGAGTAGAGATCTTGACGTCAAGACGCAAGCATCTGGTCAACAGTTTGGAGGGTCCACATTTAAGATCAAGTATTCAAATGTTATAATCAAGTGGTATTCCAACCTGTAAGATACTACTGGGCTGAGCCTATCATACTCTCCTGGTTAGATTACCTCCACATGAAAGGTGGGTTCCAGCTCACCCTTATATCAAAGTCCCCAATCCACTTCCTCCCAGTAACTGAAACCTTATTCAGATCCCCACCCCAACAGGACATCCAGATCGCCAAACTGCCTCTCAAACCAAGGGTTAAACTCAACATGGGTGTAGGCGCTCCCGTACGTATCCTCATTCCTAATCGTAGACAACCTCTTCAGCTAAAAGGGGTCGGTCACGCCCGGGAGTGGGGTTTGCAGTCTCGGCCTTTTGAAAACGGTTGTGCCAACCAGAGTCCTGATGGCAAGGTGCGGCTTCCACAATTCGTCGTCTGTGCCTCCAGCGAAGATGACCTGGCATATCGGCGACCAGAACTTTTGTGCTTTACAACCAACCTCACCCAGCCCGACCAGTATTCTGGGAACCACCATCTCCCCATTGCTATCTTTCCGGCCACCCCAGCGATCCCCCATTCATCACCCATACCACCCATCACCGGCGCGGTCGTATCCAGCATGTGTGCACGTTTGATATCGTCGTCTGTGGCTTTGCCACAGCCCATGAGCATTTAGACAGAGATATCTGTTAATTCCATGGGGGGACACCATTGGGATTCCTCGAGTAGGTGCCTATTATATCCACTGCCGGGACCACCCCGACAGCGCCTATGGAGACTCACCGTTACCACCATGCCCGGCGCCGTGTTGGGTTTTGTTTGCCGTGTTTTGCTGCTAGGATGGGGTGGGAAGGTGGTGAGTTGGAGGGGGGACTTCTTCGGGGGTGGATTGTTAATATCTGGCGCTAGTTCTTGTGGCAGGGGAAGTATATTTTGGGGTGCGGGGTGTGGAGTTGCAGCATATTTGGTGGGGGGAGGGTGGTTGGTATGGGATTCGGTGAATGGGTGGGGATGACGGTGGATGTACGGATGGGTTTTTGGAAGTCTGAGTGGAGGAAACAGGGGGGTAGAGGAATGTAGAAGTGCTTCTAGCAAGTCGGGTGGAGGATAGTTAGGGTTCGCCGGGACTCTGATGTCGAGAACACTAGTGTCGAGTATATGTCGAGGATGTCGGTCGTCAGGAACCCAAACCGCTGGTCTCTGCTCAGAAGCAAGACCCAGAAACCGCGGAGGAGTCGCTCGGATTCTGAAGTAGCAATAAACTCCCCATGCAGTCTAGTTATTCCCCGCTCACCTAGGCCCAGGCCTCAAATGTAATCCTAGGAAGTAGGAATTATCAACTGTAATTTTTGTCAACATGCTCTAGGCCTCTAATACCAACGTTCGGATCTTGCCTGTATTCTCCGTTGGGCTCAAACTGCCAGAATTGCCTTTGGAATCTGGGAGAACGTGCTGAGCGTGACCTAATGCACAGCAGAAGTCCTGGGAGATTGGGAGCATGCGGCTCTGCACCTACGAATATTGACTAAGTTAGGTTCAGTGGGTCAGATGTAAATGTTTTCCACCCACCGCCTGTGGTGTTAGAACCAACTACACCACGAAACCACTTTTGTGTCTTGCCGATCTCCCCGATGATACCTAGAAACTCGGATACCGTTAAAACTCTTGTATTCCGCCACCTCTGCCATCCCTGTGATCTCTGGCCTCTGAGTCAAATCTTTCTAAGACGGACTGGGGGTTTCCTGTCATGGTACTCGTATATCCTAGGTCACTTAGCTGTGCTAGATCTAATTAACGTGCTTTGGCAATTGGGTTAACTTACTAAGCTAAACCCCTCTGGGCTGATGTTGCGATTTACAGGGATATTCGTCATAGGCCTGAGATGGCGGATTACTCGAGTACAAAAGTCTTTATGGTATGGCCTCGGGCTCCTGAAATCAACCCTCATGGTACAAGTGCCAGGGATAAAGTTTTCGTACGGGACAGGGTTTATTTTGCGGGTTAACCTAAATTAACTGTTCGGATACTTTATCCCTATGCCTTGTAATTTACTTTGCTTACATAATACACACAAATTAATACCATAGTACTTGGCAAAAGTAACTTCGAAAACCACCTCACATGGGTGATTCGAAATTTTACTATCTCCACTAATATTGCTCTGATTGAAAATCAGAGACATAGAGTTAGAGAGGGGTGTCCTTTGCGCGCTTCTATGAAGCCATATCTTCTTAAAGATGTGATTGTGGTTAAAACTTCTCAAAAATTATTCTTGTGTTGGTTTTTGTTGGTCTCAAGTGCCCGGTACTTGTACCATACTTGAGTAATCGAACCACCTGCCTGCTATCCCCAAAGGAGGTAGACTCTGTGAGGGCTCAGCGAGGCGACACCCTTAGCGAGGCATGGCATTTCTTGGCTAGCAAAAACCTGTCTACAGTGAAACCTCCGATAACTCCACCCTCCGATATTTCCAGGTCTCCAGTATTTCTATCGTTTGTCGGGGACAAGCTTCATTCTATGGGCTTTCCTTCTCTAAGTTCTAGGGTTCTACTTGTTTCTTTTTCTAGGCGGTAAATGTTCCTAAATTCTAGGTTTTGTTTTCATGAAAAACTTTTTCATGTCACCTCCCGAGCAGAGCTGTAGACAAATTGCCAGATAACCAGAGAGTCAGTTGGATGGGTATGCATGTTTTTAGAATAAAGGTTCATCAAGTGGGAGGTGTATATTATCCTTTCGGAATGTGAACATGTAGAGATACAAACTGTACATTATCATGAACTATCACTCGTTTTCTCTCAGCAACCCCCTCTATTCTGCCAAGTCTATTCTTTATTTTCCATCCCCCCTTTACTTCTAGGGAATCTAGTCGCCCCATGTCCTGGAGATAACTGAGGTTTTACTGTACTACGGTACTCCCGGACTTTGCATGCCAAGAAATGCCATGCCTCGCTGAACCCTCACCTGGTCTAGTATCTGCCGGGTAATTCCCGTTGCGTAAGGGAATATTTGAGCTCAGGGATTCTTTCCCGACGGCCCTCTTTCTCCTAATCCTCTACACTTCATACTTCTCTTCACAATTCCAAGCAGGAAGTATGGCTCTCAACTTGACACATCGGTTGTGTTTTCAGAGATGCGTTTTTCACCCCCTCGCTTCTATCCTCGCACTCATCCCACTCGCCACTTCACTAAGACTACAAAGGTAAGTGAAACTTTCGATGGTGGTTCAGTGAGATATGCTAAATTGTTGATTTATAAAAGAGAGCGATTGATGATGTTTTCGCCGAGGCTGCTATTCCAAAGTCCGAAGGTACCCGAGTCCTTTCCCACTTGGAAAGGCTGACCGCCGTAGAAACCGTAAGAATCAATTCACAATCAGTTCAGCACATGCTAACAGATACTCACAAAGGAAGTTGCAATTCACCGAAAGGCTATTACTGATGGATTTATGGAAATTAAAGGGTGGATTGAGATGATGATGGTGTTTGGCGGTGGAACTATTTTCTTTGGATTCGGATCGGTGGGTTCACCATTGCATACTTGTTTTCTGAGTTGTTTCGCTCACATTCATATCTACAGCTTGCCTACAAAGTGATGGTGTATGACGTTGATGCCAAAAAAGAAATGATGGCACATACCGCACGTGTCGTCCACGAGTAGTGTTGTGCACGAGCCGAGCCGGGCTCGAGCCCTTCGAGCCTAGGGGCCTCGAGCCTAGGTGGTCACTAGGCGCGAGCCGGCTCGAACAGGGGTCCACGAGCCGACTCGAGTCAGGAATTGGACTCGGGGATAGTGGGAAGGTCATTTGGCTAGTTGTATTTGTTTTCAAGTTGCTATATGCAATTTTTGGTTGATTTGAGTGATAATGGCAGTGGGTAGAGGTATCGTGACCAGTTTGGACTCAAGCCTCTTGGCGGCTCAAGTCCAGGTCTGGGCTCGGCTCGAGCCGGCTCGTGAACAACACTATCCACGAGTCGGAGGAGAAACTCCAGACCCGCTTCGGTAGCCGCGTAGATAACTTTGAACAAAAAACCCGGGCTCAGATCAAAAACTTGAAGCTTGAGACGAAGTCAGAGATTGACAAGCTCGGGCATTTGGTCGAATTGTCTACCAAGAAACGCTAATGAGGGGCATTATTATGGGGGTGGAACAGTGTTCCCAAACGTCAAGTCCGTCCGTCCTTAGCTTCGGACGGGACGGACGCCGGTTCCTGGAACTCTGCCCTGGACGGACGCCCGTTCTGTGGTCCGTCCTAACCTCTGCCCGGGACGGCCGGCCGGGCCCTATAGGTGTCTCCTGCAAATAGACCTGCAGATGACGGCCGGGCCCTGCAAATGGCGGCCGGGCCCTGGTGAGGACGGCTGGGAGATGCCATTTGTATTAAGACCCCTGGGCCCGGGCGTCAACCCTTCGGACAGCAGTCTTTATCAAAGACGGACGCCATGCCCTACCGTCCTGGCCCACCACGCCCGGGACGCCCGGGACTACAAGCCCGCCAGGGCCCTGTAGGGCGCCCGGGACGGTTGGGAACACTGGGGTGGAAATGGTGGGTAGTGCTGTTTTTTTCTTCTGTTTGTTAGAGGCAATCGGGGGCATTCGTTGGATATCTCCGTTAGGGAGGATTAGATTCAAATAAATAGAGTCTTGAAATTGCGTTTCTATTCCATTTGTTGTCTTGGGGGGGTCACGCGAAGCGGGCTGTGGAGCCCTTAATTCAAATATATTTATACTAGCTAAACCTATCCGGTATCCGCTAGTCCATACAAATCTGCCTATCCCGTAGCACATGTGGAGCCCCATATAGAAGCGTAGCGCTGGGTTGTGCATGCAGATACTTGAGATATACCGTGAAAACTCAGCTATCGTGGAGCTTGGGCACTTGCAATGTCAGCAATAATCCTTTCGTACGAGTACGGTACCATAAGAACCGGGGAAATCAACCATCTCAGTCCGCCATGTGATCCCCGATCCCGAGTCCCTGGCTCCCGACCATAGGTATAAGGAGGTCACACCACTGGATGTGTTGGACATCCTTAACTGTTATTCGCAATTTCTTTTAACCTGTCAAACTAAACCCAGCAACTCAACCACTCATTCCCTTCCGATATCGCAGCCGCAAGAAAATATGCCTCACATCAATTATGATACCAACTCCTACAACAATTCTCAGTACTCATATAACACCGGTTCTCTCAACACCGAGATCGTGTTGAACGTGAACATTGGTGTGACCGACGAGAACTCGGAGATTCCAACATGGCTGTCTTCTCTTGAGCTCCGTATCCGATATTGAGATGTTCGAACTCTCTGGGCTGGTAATGCGGGGGGTTGGCTGCTGGGGAGTGGGGAATTTCGGAGGTGGTGCGGCGAAGTCCGGGAGAATGGGTCTGTGCTTGCCACTTTATTTTGCTGCGGCGATCCAGCAGTTGGGGGGCATATTTCAGGTGGGTGGCACTCATCGGAGGGGGCTCCAGGGGATGGTGGTGCTAATAATAAGTGATACTAGTTCACTTGTGATAGACGGATTATGCGATAAAGCCAAAATCAAAATATATATGGCTGTAGCCTGTTTCTACATCGATTTCGTCCCGCGGGAGGAGCAATCTCCGACAAAAATACCCGGTTCACTATTGAAACAAATGGTTGGTGGACTGGAAAGGATCCCGGATGAGATAACCCAGACTTTTCGAGATTACAAAAAGGTTATGTAATGATGATAATGTGGGGCATATCCAGATGGGATTGAGTATGGATGTATATCTAGAGGTGATGGACGGTGGTCTGGAGGCCGGGATCATCCAAACCATTGCCCAGAATCTCCCTGAATCGTAGCTGGCCAGCATTATCCAAAGTTTTATCACGCCTTTGTCACTAACTGTTGAAATATACGGTAACCTATTCCTAACCGATGATGTGGCTGTGTTGGTCATGTGACACATTCATATGACGGATGAATGTACTAGTAGATTCTAGCAGGTCCTAGTTATTTCCTTGGTATGGGGCAGTGCTCGTGTAATGATAGAAGGGTATATATAGGGGTGTGGATTTCCTTCCTGTTAATAGAGCAGGCAAGCTTGGATTTATCTTACTAGTCTTAAGGATATTTATCTTATCAAGTCTACTATACTTATCACAAGTACAAGTGACTTAGAGGGAAAAATTGAACAAGTTATGAGCCCGGGTTTGTGAGTTCTTCCTCATTCCCAAACATCATATACTATAAGGCTATAAGTGTACTCTAAGCGAGCGTATTACCATCTCCCATCCTACCTACGAAAACCAAGTCACATACTTTTGTTGAATCCTCCCATATATCTATTACTTCAATCATGTCTGAGGCAGGCTTTAAGATCCAAGTCAAAGACTACCCCAAACTCCACAGAAAAGACAACTACTCGTATCAAACCTGGGCCAGAGCCTGGTGGGTAGTGTAACCGGACCTGGTACTAGGTTATTAGTTTGTTTTATGTTTTGTTTTAAGTATCGGTTGATACTTAGTTTGTTTTATGTTTTGTTTTAAGTATCAGTTGATACTTAGTTTGTTTTATGTTTTGTTGTAAGTATCGGTTGATACTTGGTTAGTTTTATGGATTGATTGAGTAAGAACATGAGTGAGAATTCATGATCGTACTCAAACATATGTACTTAAAAAGACCGCCACCTTCTACTAGGGAAGAGGGCAGACTTCGACAGTTAGTATTCTAATATACTCGGTTGAATGGTTATCTTTATTTTCCTATTACACCATCCAAGCCTCCCTTAGTGAGCTTAGGAACCGTCGGTCTCTGGTAGATTGTCCGCTCTCACCTATTGTACCAGCGACGTGACTAGCGCCTCGGCGTGAACACGTTACATTTTTTTACCCTCAATGAGTGGTTAAATACGACGAATCAAGGCCTGATCAACCTACGAGGATTCAGCAAGATGAACGGTACCGGCAGAAGCCGCAGACCACGATAATCGGCTCCTGCATTGTCAGTAGTGCGATATAGATCCACTTACAACTCGGAGTGGGCGCGAAATCCCACAAGAAGGCCTAACCCAAAGGAAGGGAACAAAGCCACCCACAAAAACTACACCTGGTGCATTCCCAGGTTCACCAGCAAAAGAACGCAAACCACCAGCACCATCACCGCCTCCACCCCCACCTGATCCCCCTTCAGAAGAAGAAGAAGAAAAAGACATATCCGGCTACGGAACACCAGCACCCGCGCCCGATCCTCCAGCGGACCCACCCCTACAAAAGCCCAAACTAAAAATCCCGCAGCCTCCTACATTCTCGCGTAGAGGAGCGGACCTGAGACCGGAAGCGTTCAAACGATGGCACACTAGCTGAAGGCAATACCTTTCAGTCTACGGAATAGATATGAAAGACTATGGATCAGGGATCTATCTCGGAAGCTTCTGCACAGAAGATGCGACAGAAGCATACCATCAGTGCATGAAGGAGTACCGAGAACCGGACAAAGTAAGGGCAATAACAATAGCCAACTTCCTACGAGATCGATTCCAATCATCCCGTAATGCAGATGAATTATTTGAAAGATTCAACAATATCCAACCGACCCATGGAGGAAAAACGGATAAGATAACAAAACCGGCAACATCACTCCTTATGTATCACAGTCGATTACCCGCGTGCACCATTTCAGCATATTCCCTCAAAAAGCGATTCTATGAAAGCATGCATACCAAACTACGGCAGGTCGTCGAACCACAAGAAGCAGCGACCGATGATATACACACGATTATCAAGAGAGCAGAAAGGCATGATGCCATCCTGTGGGATACGAATGCCTACAGGACAACGGATGTAAGAAAGGACAAGGGGCAGAGATACAGCCCTACTAAGAATTCGAAAAAGATTGGAATACCGAAATCGAAAGACACCTAGCGGCAGCGACAGTGAAAGGCCAACAATGAATGCTATGAATGCGGAAAAAAGGGTCAGTATGCTAAGGACTGTTATATGCGGAAATCCAAAAGCAAGCACATAAAGAAGGAAGCTACCACGAACCTCCTGGAGGAAGAAGAAGACAGCGCCTACGAGGAAATTAGCATTAACTCAGTAGTTGCAACTGTTAACTGCTACAAGACCACCCCAGCAACAACTACAAAAACGCTCCCGTTCCAGTCATTGGAAGGAACGTTAGAAATAAATGGCTTTCCCGCTAAAGTCCTGTTCGATACAGGAACAATAGGACATAACATATTAAGCAATACTTTTGTGGCTACACACGGCATAAAAACACAATCTACCAAGTACCCAGTTACCCTTAATATGGCCATGAAAGGATCCCGATCCACTAGCGATAGCCAGGCAACCACCGCAGTTAGAATAGAGAAAGCAAATTTACCAAACACTGGCAACCCCATGCTGATCGGAAACGTTGCAAAATACGATGCCCTCCTCAGAATGCCATTTATGACTCGCCACAAAGCAAATATTGCCTGTGGGGACATGATGATCACCTTCCCAAATCAGAAAGTCAGGGTCTTATGCAAATCAACAAGCGGAGAACACAGGTCCGCAGTGTCTGAATCTAGTCAGGCCATCATAGAAGAATACAACGATGTTTTTCCCGACAAGATACTGGACGGTTTACCACCCCTGTGGAAATTCAACTACCGTGTACAACTAATACCTGGATCACAAATCAGAGATGAACCAACTTACTCAGTTCCAGAAGCATACAAAAAACAACTTCACGAATGGATCCAGACGAAGCTACTACAAGGGGTTATCTACCGTGACACAGTAACAGGTGCAGCCCGTATGTTTGTACAACCATAAAAGAACGGGAAAACTATCAGACCACTAGTCGACCTTAAGCGACGAAATGACCTAGTAATCAAAGACACCCCCTCAATACCCCGGCAATAAGATATCCTGAATGTGGTAGGACGGAAGAAATACCGTAGCAAGATGGACCTCCGCGATGCATACTTCCAAACGCGAGTGCCAGTGGATCCTAAGGACGAATGAAATAACTTATTCAAATCACCCTTTGGAACTATGATTAGTTGAGTAATGCTACAAGGAGACCAGAATGCACCTGCCACTTTCATGCGCATAATGGAAGACTTATTAGGGGAATACCTACATGATTTTGTGTGGGTA